AGCAGAATAGGAAAAAAAAAATCTACTGTTATTATATTTACAGTTTTGCTCATCTGACTTAAAGCTCCATGGCACATAAAGCGAAGCAAGATGCGAATTAAAACAAATACGGTATCACTCTACTTCCTCCTCTCCTACTTCTCCCTCTTATTCTCCTTTTACTCTTCCTCCTCCTCCCCTTCCACTTTTAATTAGAGAAATAAAAGAAAGCAGAGAAGTTAGCCTGGAGGGATTCTTCTGACTGGCTTCGTTTGCTTCGCTCCTTCACCTTCCTTTCATTTTCCCCCTCCTGTTTTTCATGGTGCTTTCTCTTCTCGTTCGTTTTTATTTTTTCTTGTTCGCTTATTATCATTGTTTTCATTATTATTAGTTTTGTGTTTCTGGATCGTCGTTGCATGCCGTCACTGATAGCAATGAGATGGATTTGCCTCTACAGGGAAGTTGAAACAGTTGGGGCTTACACCTTGCCAATTCAAACTTTCATCACCGGTGTCCTTTGGCGTCTTATATTTTCGCTCGCGTTTAACTAATTTTAAAAGCCTTTTCGGAATAAATGAGCGGGGCCAACATTCTAAAATTAGGACAGGATTTGCTTTATGCACAGAGAGACTAATAAGAATTTGCTAATCACAAGAGCAACACCAGAGGTCTTAGTTCGTAAAAGGGGGACGAATGTACAGAGCGGGACACTGTTAGCGCGAACAAGCGATCGACAGATTTTTTTTTTCTTAGAACCGAAAGGTTGTCATCAAAGATATAATTGTTATGGAAAGAGCTCATTGAGGGCTCTAACATAAGGGTAAAATTGTGTACCCACTAATGCTCTTTTCTAATAAAATGCGAAAAGCGCCGATGTCATGTTCGCGCTAACAGTGTCGCGACGTGTACGTAAGGATGTGGCAGATTGGCCAAAAACGTTTTCTATACCGCACGTGTCAAAGTCCAAACCGACTCCTAGTAATAATTAAAAGCACAACCTGTTCGTTTCGCTGCATGTCAACCTTCATTAACGTATTGACCTTGAGGCAAAGTTAGGTACCTCCATGGCTTTATGAGTTATGTACCTTTGCGATAAATACTTATGAAGAGCTCCTGGCAAGAAAGAGGCTCATGCCCGTTGCATCATGACGTTACTACGCATATGAAATGTTAATGACCTCAAACAAGAAACCATAGAGTTTGCAACTCAAATATTGCCCAGAAGTGAAGTCCAATTTTCAATTTCTTTATTAAATAATAAACAAAGTTGTATGTTGGTAAAATCTATTTTTACTGCCGTGAAACTGAAGCTGTACTTAGCGTAATTCGTTCTAAATGGACTAAGTAGTTTAAAATTGAATAGAGTTTGCAAATTGCAGATAGAAGGAAGCATGGAGACTCCACCTTGTCAGGAGCAGTATTTCAAATACGTATTTTAAAATACTTTGTGTATTTGGCATTTCTACTTAATTACAAATTGGGTACCGTATTTGACGTGTGTATTTAAATACTAAAACGTGGATATTTCAATTACAATTATAATTAAATACAATTTTGTGGGTGAAAACACATCCCTCAAATTTATTGTCACGACTCATTCTGCTCATCCTAAGAGGTGTCCAGAGCAGGAAGAAAATTACGTTCTGCACCGAATGCAGTGTCTCTCAATCGAGCACAAGCGTTTAGTGACTTTGTGATTACGGTGCTAGTCCAGGGCAAGAATAGTGACGAAATCGACGTTCGCAGGCAGGCTGGCTAAATAAGTGCCTCTGACAACTTGTGATGCTTTCCAGCCTGATTTCCATCCATATCTTTGCCTGGAACATTCTAAATGCGCGGGTCGTCCAGATTTTCGTAACTGGTGCGACATCCAACAATAAAAAATTCTCTAGCTAGTGCTGCGCGTCTTGGTCGTCTTGGTTCTGTGTTGGTCCATACCAAAATGTAATCGACAAAAAAAGCTGCTTGAAGCTCTGTACTTTATTGAACTATTACGTCCAAGCTGATTACATTTTTTTTTATTATATTTCTATTACGTCACTAGAGCCTCGCACACTAACTCCCAAGTGTGCGATGCAAAATTAAAATGAGACGCCCTGAAACCCGTTGCAGGTGCCGTGAAGTCGCTGACACGAATTTTGAGGAATGTATTTGGAAAAGTATTTGGAGGAGACCAAATACGTTTGGTTGTATTTGTATCTTGTACTTAGATGCTTTTTTGGAAATGTAATTAGATTTGTAATTAAATGCATTTTTGACAAAGTATTTTGTGTTTGTGTTTCGATATTTGCATGTATTTTGCCCATTCCTGCACCTTGTAAATATGATAATCAAGCCGTTCTGCTCTACCAGAAATAGTAGGAGATCGGCACAGAGGGGCAATACATTCATTTATACCATAGTTTTAGACGTAAATGAAGGCTGGAACACATGATGCGAAAATATAGACCCAGAATCGGACGGAAATCGGACCATCGAAAAACCGTTGTATGCCATTTTTGGAAAACGGTCAGATGAGGAATCCTCCCCCCCCCCACACACACACACACACATACACACACACAGAAACAAAAATCGCAATGCTTTACTATTTCTTCAAGGCTCGGCGCGAGTTTTGCGCGCCAAGCCGTTCGAAAATCGGAGGCTTCGTCCAAAAAATATCTGGCGCTCCGGATCTCGAATCGTTTCCGATTTTCGCAAGAGGAGAGAAGTCTAGCTGCCGTTCGAGTTTCGTTCGCGGTTTCCGCAGTGTAGTCCGTCGTTTTTCGCATCATGTGGTCCGGCTGTTACACTCACTATGACTTGCAACCTACCCAAGTGAAATAATAGTAATAAAAATATTGCCTTCTTTTTTTTTGCCTAGCTACCAAGTCGAATCCAGCAAAATACTATCACCTTGTGATTGAAGCGATGAGGTTGGCCATAGAGGACGGCTTGCTTCACGTTGCCGACCCACAAGTCTCAAAAATAGACCAACTGATAAGGAAGGAACATGGCGAGAAGATGAAAGAACTCCTTGATGTCGAGAGGTAAGCCTGTGGCATCATGGCACATATGTTGCGTTCGTTCTTTTTTTAATGATCTGTTTCTTCTAACGGCGATGGGAGAAGCTCACTATCGAAGCATCTCCGGGCTGGGCTTAAGATGATGCTTAATTCCGGGGAACTGCTCGAGGTTGAACGCCCAGCAACACTTCACAAGGAGGCTGAGCTACTTTAGAAGTTTGAAGAAGCAAGTGTTTTGCAGAAACGTGAACTCCGCTTCTTCCGGAGGTCCAGCGTTATTTTCCTTTCAAGGCGTGCTTATCCAAGTTATGCCACGTTGTGGCACTCAATATGCCACTAGATGGCGCTGATTATCCGCCCACTCTCTCCGATTTTCGTGAAATGTCCCTTTAGTGACGTCAAAGACGTAAAGCGGAGGCACTGCGAACGCCTTTTAGTTATCTACTCGGTGCTGACTATGGACGTCCGCAAGAGATGTTTTCTTTCTAAACGAACAACTTGAAGAAGGAACAAAACATACTATGGCGTAATTAACGTCTCAGTTTTACCGCTTAATAACACTCCGATTCATCCGCTAGGTTCGTGCCCCGTTGCTCGAAGGATCTGCCCAATGGCAAACAGGGCGACACTACCTTCATGGCCGCTGTGGACCCATGGGGAAACGCATGCTCCTTCATCACCAGCATCGCTCAACCATTTGGCTGTACCACTGTCTCAGAGTATGGGTTCGTAGTACACGTAAGGCTTGCACTGCCCGTCTATTCAGTAGAATGCCTTAAGTTTTTTGGTCTTGTCACTATGGACGGCACATTCGAATGGCCCGTTAACTTAAAGATACGCAGGCAAAAAACAAAGAAAGAATGGAATATAGAGGTGTCACAAATAAGAGAAAAAACAAACAAACGAATGTGTACACTTATTTCACCATATATTCTTGTATAACATAAACATATTACTATTGGAGTTTCTATAGTCAATGCCAAGGTGAGAGCTATAGAGCGCCTCTTTCGTACGGCCTGCTTACAGCACGCGTTCGTTGCTTTTCGTTGTGTTTTGAATGCGCGTGCACACTGGATGCTCCCTACACGCCGAAGCGTTTCTAAAGATTTTGCGCTGGAGGCGAGACAACTGAAAATTTACCCTGGCATTTCCATCCAGTCAGTGACTATAGTTTATTGACTCTATCCTGGGGGACAACCCTCTGGTGTAAGGCAGTGAAAGGGCGAGCTCGCGCTTGTACGGGTACGCCTTGAGCGCCGGTTATATCCTTCACTTTAAAGGCCCTTATGGTTTCGAGTTTGTTTCCCAATTAATACTGAAAAAAACTATGTAGTTATAGCCTCTGGAGTTAGGCGAAATGGTGTTAGAAGAGCACGCATGCAGATGTAAGTCACGTCGCTTCAACTCGAGCCCCTGAGAAGAGTGCGACGAAGGCAATCACCCTGGAGCCTCTATGGACATGCGTTTTGCTCAATGCGCGACAAGTCTGACGCGAACAGGACTTCAGCGCTTTTTTGCATTTTACTTCTAAAGGTATCAAGCGAGCATCACAAATTAGCACCTCGGTATAATGTTCAAGCTGAATGCTTTGCGCAACTATAGTAATTTTGATGACACTCCTTCCATACAGAAAGGGGGGGGGGGGGGGGGGGCGGGGGCGGGAACGGCGGTGGCCAGTTTTCGCTAACAATGTCGCGGATTGTATGCGCGTGTATCCATTCTCTTGAAGCTAAAACTGCAATTTTTTGTGTGTCGACGAGTACAAAGATTAGTAAGTGAATCTCTTGTTAGCATTTAAAATTTGTCATCATGCAGCAGCTGTGTGTTTGCGTTCTCTATCATCGTCATTGTTCTTATTTTTTCCAAGCTTCAGTAAGACACAGAGTACACGTCGATATTCCCCGCCGAAAGCTCGTATACTAACAAGGCATGTTTTAGATGTGGTGATTCTTGAAAGTGACTCTCGATCTACTTCAGAACTTGTACTTCTAGTCACGTGGCGATGGTTTCAACACAATGCTTGGACACCCCAACTGCGCAGCACCATGCAAGAAGCCTTTTGACAGCTTGATGCCTGTCTTGGTCACAGACAGCTCCTCGGGAAAACTGTTGTCTCTAGTTGGTACAATGGGAGGGAGTGCACAACCGCAAGCAGTCCTGCAGGTAACTACTCTGCTTAACAGTGAGCCCAATTCAAGGTGCATTGTATTAGTACAATGTTGCTTCACTGGATGTTCGTTTGAGAAGCTGATGAAAATCTGCGAAATCGTGTACCAGCTTCGACACAGGCGGTTACACCTGCACAAGGGGAGCGGACGTCACGGCACATTTTGTGGAGATAAAGTTCTAGAAGTCAATATTGTTTTTAAAACAAAACTCTACAGAACAAATTAGGCTCCGACATTTATAATGAAAAACACATTGATCTCTATCTCATGACTTCGCCACATAAAGGTTTGTAGTGCTATTGCTAACATAAAAAAGACAACTTAACTAGAATTTATGCCTCTCTTGACTGAGTTGCTTAAACTGCCGGTGATGAATATATTGAATTACAGATGTTTTACGAAGACCGTTTAATCTTTAAGATTACTCAACGCCCAGCCGTTACCATCAGGTTTGTTTTGATCACACCATCGCCCACCAGCACCACTTGGACATTGCAATTAGCTCTTTTTTTTTTGCTTTATATTTTTTATGGATAGTTGCTTTTATAAATTATTGGCGTTATTAAGCTGAATCATAAAACCAAAACATCGCAGTTCGACGATCAACGGCGTTGGTAAATCTCCGTAGCAGACTCGGACGATTTCCATCCGCCCCTTGCAATTACCAAAACAAAAAAAAACAAAAAATCACAAAAAAAAAACAAAAAAAAACATTTTGGTTTAGAATTACGTATGTTCTAGAAGCAGAGCTTGGCTAAAATATTTTTCCAATGCGCTCTAAACTATTAGCGCCGTATTGTCACGAATGACAAGTGATGAGGCGTCAAATAACTGAGTAAACTAAACGTTTAATCGGGCGAACTTGTGCCCAAAATAAAGGAGGAAACAAAAGATAACTGTAGAGGGTCGCGGGCGTCGAAGTCGGCGAAAGAGCAGAGTCGAACGCTGGGGCGAAAACTGACTCGACAAGGCTGCGGGTGGCCTCTTATCTAGAGTGAGTCACTATCTCGAACATTCGGCGGAGAAGGTTCGAGCGTAGCGCGCTCGGGGCGAGAATGAACACGCACTTTCTAGAACAACAAAATCAGGGATGAGCGATAGAAGGTATGTACGCAGCAAGAATATACAAGAATCTTCTACAAGTCCGCGACCCTGCGCGCGGCATTATCCGCCCCCCCCCCCCCCTTTAAAAGCGCATCGTGCCGATGCAGCACAAACCGAAAACACGAAATCCACAACAAAAGGACAGTAGAATTGCGAGCCACAGTTCACAGTTTTACGAGAGTCCGAAGTTCTATCGGTCGTAATATGGCTTGAGGCGCACGACGTGGACTACTTCGGGTTGCGGTTGACGTCGTCTTGATGGTCGAGTTCCGTCGGGAAGCATTTCGTAGTTTAAGTCCCCGAGACGGCGAAGAACCTTGCAGGGTCCAAAGTAGCGCTTGAGAAGCTTCTCGCTGAGACCTCGGCGCCGTATTGGTGTCCAGACCCATACCCGGTCTCCGGGCTGGAAGTGGACGTCCCGACGGCGAAGGTTGTAGCGGCCAGTGTCGACACGTTGTTGGGCTTGAATACGAAGTCTGGCGAGCTGACGGACTTCTTCTGCACGTTGAGAAATCATTTGGACGTCGTCGCATCCATCGACAGCCGGTTCGTGGGGTAACATCGCGTCCAGCATCGTCGTTACTTTGCGACCACGAACCAGTTGAAACGGTGTCACCCCTGTGGTCTCTTAAGAAGACTTAATGAATTTATTATGTTTGCTCTTCTTGGTTTGCAATTCCTTTTCCGGCGTTCGCTAATGCATCAATCTTAGTGGTCGCTACAATAAAACCCTCAAGATTCTCTACGCCCAGAGCTTTTTAAGGTGTCAATGATGGTAGTCTTCACGACACAACAACATCGTGATTAGCCGAAAAGGTAGCACGTTACAACGGAAATTGTTCGTCTTTCAGGTTTTATTGAACATGGTCGAGCACGGTCTAAACCCCCAAGAGGCGATTGACAAACCGCGCCTCAGAATAGGATGGGGCCGCAAGCTTCATCCGGAGTGAGTATAATGGCCATCATTTCCTGGCCTCATGGTTTCACATTTTCTGCAGTAATTAATAGACCTATTCCACATTTAAAATTCAAAAAGGTTTCTACGTTACATTAGCAGGAAGATGGCGAAGAAGTAGCAACTTTATGCGTTCTTTTTGGGGTGGAGCAAAGAGTTCCCATTCGAATGCTTTGTCACTTTACACGAGCTTACTGGCATTAGAGGGACTCAAGGATACTCACACGCAACGCCACTGGACAAGAAACTCCTTTGTTGCGGTGTAATTTCAGGGGCAGAAGCCAGCGTTTTTTTTTTCAGTATCTCCTTTGCGAATCTTTATGATGTAACTGGGGGATCGCAGTATCCTCCAGTGACGATATTTGAATGCGGCTCATAGATTGTACTCGAGCATTGCGTGGACCCCGGATTGGGGCTCGTGATAGTCGATAGCTTGAGAAGCATTTGGGTAGTGGCCCGTGTCTACTCGCTGCAATGACGACAATAGCCTAAAGATAACAATGTCTGGACTTCAACGCGTGTCCTGTGCCTCGCCAACCCCAGCGCGTGGCTATGATCAATATTGGCGGCATATAATCGGCTCCAGATCACGTGGCCGCTCATTCTGGCTGCAAGTTGACGGGGTAAACGCTTCTCGGTTTTCTTTAATGTTTTCTGCGATTTCAATTGCGCGTGGTGAAAAACGAACAGGTTTTCACAGGTCATTAACGTCAGAGATTCATACTAAGCGGTTCTTTTCGCAAAATACAGAAGTCGTTGCATCGCCCCTTTAATGGTCGCGTTGCAACTCAGCGCACAGTTGTTCCTACAGTCATCGAGATTTTAAGCGTGGTGAGTCCTGAGCAGCTTGTTTTTGCTCCGCCTTCAGTAAGATTGAGACATAATTCGATAATAACACCGAACAACGAATCACAAATTGAGCAGCGCTCAGTGACTTTATACTATAGCGCGAAGCCTGGAACGCTTCTCCGACTGGTGCGTTTACCATGTCCCCACCCCCCCCCCCTCAAGAAAAAAAAAACAAAAAAAAAAAACGGTCTACCGATTTCCGTTTGCGGACTTTATGCAAGTGTGAGTCTGTCGCCGGCCGCGACCCTGGCAACGTCGCAGCAGTGGTGTTAGATGCGACAGATGCCTGTTCCGCTGCAGGTCGCTCTCCAGCTGGCAGTCCACGGAAACTTCGGTTGCCATGGGTTGGGACGCTGTGGAAATACCGACACTTGCGTTTGCTAGAGCTTTTTGCCCTAACGCCTTCGTCCGACCACCAGGATCGCGACACCTCACAGCGTTACATTTTGGCTGTGTTCCAAATCTTACCCAAATGGATCCGAGCTACTCCAGCGGGTCGTGTCACGTGACAACACAGATTGAAAAAACGCTGGACGTGGGTCGGTTTTAGAACGCCAAGGTACAAAACCCTTACGCTGGAGTAAGATCGAGTAAATTTTGGAACACGGTCAGAGTGTCTCTACTGAAGGAGAGGGTCCATCTCAGACCATGGGAAGCATTTGTAATTTAATGGCGGACACCTCTTGCGGAGTTTTGTCGCGAATACCCATGCGCCGCGTTTTCGCATGGTGAGGACGAAAGAAGGCGGAAAGGCTGAGACGCTTGCAGACAATTAACGTTTTCGGCACCTACTCGCAGCTTGTATTGCGATTGCGGCCCATAAACCACGTGACCCTGATCGAGCAGTTAGAAAGGCTCTCTAAATAACTCTCAGGCTTTTGTGACGTCATTTGTTGGCACTTCGGGACCGCTTTTGCTGCATGGCCGGAATGTGATGCTGGACGCACCAGTCAGAGATAATACAAGGACCTAGGAGAGCTGAATAAACAACTGACATTTTTAACCCCCGAGTATGGGGAAACAAGGGGACCCTTCAACATGAATCACAAAACACATATGATATGAATTTTTCGAAACACAACCTTAAATAGGCAGCCAAGTCCCAAACCAGAGCAGACAGAAAATACACGAAAGACAACGATGCCTTCACGTGTACGCAACGAGATTATACGTGTCTCGGACAATTCGTTGAAAGCCATTTCATTGACGGACAATTGGCAGAATGACAATTCGTAGAACAGGGCGATTTGTTAGGCCAAATCGTAGTACGAATAATTTGTCGAAAGTGCCTTTTCGCCAACAAAAATCAAAATATTCGTCAGAAGTCGCAGGTCTGGACGCAGTCGAAATCCGCGTCCAGGCCTGAAGATCGCCCTTTCCAAGCCAGCGCTGCGTAGGCTAGCTGTCCCAGGCTATCATAACCCGAGTCTCGCTGCGTAACCACTCTGGGATTGTCATGACCCAGGACGGTATGGCCAGGACACACCCTCCCCTCCGGTCCTGGTCAAAAGCCTCGCTGGTTGACCTCGCCGGGGATCTCCATGGGCCAGTCCAGGCAGAACGGCTCCATCGTTCCTGCCCGGAACCAGTCTCGCGAATTAAGCACTGTCTCGCGCCAGCTTGTGACTCTTCGGCTGACCGCCTGTCATGTGACTTCCACCCCGTCTTCTTTTACTGTCCTCTTCCACACTCCGCCCCCCCCCCCCCCTCCTGTCAAGTCTTCTGAGGACTTCCGGTAGACGGGATTTCATGGGCCTAAGGGAAGAGTTCTTCCACGTCGATGGATTAAGAAGGCAGCTAGGTGAAAACTCTGGTCGGGGCCGTGTAAGGTGTCGGAGAGGCGGCTGCTGTTGGTGTTGCCGGAGTGGCCACGTTGCAGCGTCCGAAAGCGGCGTAGGTAGTGATGGTACCCTCGGCGTTGGACTATCTTGGTGCCGGCCTCAGCTGGCTCTTCTAGCGAAGCCGGCAGACAATGTTTACCTGCCAGTCGCTCGCTGTCCCACTCACTACGATGTAGCAGGGGCCTTCTCTAAGTTGGTCCCCCGACGTGGACGGAGCTGCCCCGTTCCGCTTGGAGGTCGTCACGGGCGTAGAACTGCCCGCTTGAGCCCTTCGTCTGGCCGAACAAGTGTCAGCCACCCTGAGCACTTGGGAAAACGGATGGGTTTGTGTTTTTTCCCGGTGGACTGGCTGGTTGGCGCCGTCCATGACAGTCTTTCCAAGAAACCAATCTGCCAGGTACAAAGTGTTGAAACAACACACAACAAAAACATATTCTGCTGCAGGTTGTGGCAGTGACCATAGCCTCCACGGCGAAATTGTTTGCCCACAGATCGTGTACCGCTAGTCCGCATTCTGGAGCTCGCTCCTGGGTCACCAGGAACAGAAGATTTCCTCTGTATTACCGCAACCTCATGTTAATCACTTTCCCCATCGCGACGGAAGCATTCCTTCAAGTCAGCAATGTGAAGCGGGCCAAACTCCTTGTTTGTATCTCGCCGAGGAAGCCCAGACGTAAGGCACGACTTTCGGGTATATACCTCGGAGGAGGGGAGGCGGGGGCTCTTACCTAGGTGCAAGCGATGCGGCGAAACCAATACCTGCGTTGCTCAAAGCGGTCTAGGTAATGATGGTGTAAGCCTAGTCCATCTTCTGCGCAAGAGAAGGGATCCAAACTCCGCAGCCGGATGTCCTTACCATACCCGCGTTCTGCAACGGCCGCGTACACAGTGTGCGACACGATGTGAGCGTCAGCGACCCGTTTCGTCCACACGAATACGGGCTCTAGGGACTTATCGGTCCTCGGAGGGGGCGGCAGCTGAGCGAGCAAGCTCGCTCGAACAGTACGCGCCTCAAGGCAAGCTGGACATCTACAAGCCCACCTAAATATCTCCCGCTTCATTTCCGGCCAGGTCATGAAGCAACATAACTTATTAAAAGCCATGGTATCACTGCCACGACTGGCCAATGTGAAGTCGAAAAATAATCCTGTAAAGCACCTCCGTAGCTTTGTAGTACCCGCCCCCCCCCCTCCCCCCCTGAAGGGAAACTCGTGCCTCTGCCCTCTGTTCTTTCTTGGGATGACGCGAAGCAACAAGCCACCTTGGTCCAGCAGATACGAATTGTAGTGCTCATTAAATCACCTGCAAGCATTTCCGGTGTCAACTGCTATCCCAGCAATTTTTCCGACACCCGCTAACAAACTCGTCCGCAAGCGTTCCCGGTGTCAACTGCTGTTCCCGCAATTTTTCCGACAAATGCTGACAGAAACCTGTCCGCACCCTGGGCCTCGACAAGCGCTTACTTTCTCACCGCATAACCCAAGCCTAAATTCTCTATCTCTCTTCTCGTCTGAAATCCTAAATCCTAATAAAAACAAATCCTAAGTCTGCAACGAGTCTAGGCTGTTTCTTCCTCTCTCAGTTGTTATCCTGCCTTCCAGCGAACATGCGGTGTCTCCTCTCTGCCTCCGAAAACGACTTACTTACATCTTACCCACGCTCATCGCCTCCACCCCTGTAGCATCACCGCCTCCCAACCACTTTTCTGGGGTGCCCGAGAGAGCACGTCGTCAATCTCGACCTTCGAGTCCTTTCGGTACTCGATTCGAAGTGGTACCTGCTGAGCTCAGGTGTGAGACAAGTTGCCAGAATTCCAACAGACTTTCTCTCAATGGGCATCGTTAGCATTAGGACACAACCCGCTCAACGAATCCTTGGGACTCCCTTTGGACGAATAGAAGCAAGGACATACCGACCGAGCTCCACGTTGGGCGCCGTTTGTGGTATTGTTTGTGATATTCTGGGTCTATTAATGATCGCCACCCGATCGGCATGTGCATCGGTCGTCTTCCAGAAAGTGACGCACTGCAACGAGGCGGTACGGCGAAGCGGTTTACAGTACTTCCCAGTTGCCCGTCCTCGAGAGCCGCCATGCCGGACCCGCAGACCCTGGTTGCCTCGTAGGATGACCTCACCTGTCAGAACCCGTCGTTCAGAGCTCGCAGCCAGACTCCATGTCCAGGCCGGCGGATCGCCTTCCCACGACAGCGCTGCGTAGGCTAGCTGACCCGGGCTCTCGGAGTCCAAGTGTCGCTGCAAAACCACTCCGAGATCGTCATGGCCCAAGCCGGTATGGCCAGG